GAGCATCCTCTCTTCAAACTTAAGGGATATTTTCAAGAGGTCACCTGACAGTTTCCCGATTAACCAGGCTGTGGTGCTTACGAGGGACTGTGTGCACCGAGCACCAGCAGCCTTACTGATCAGGCTTGACTGGGACCGAATCGCGGGAATGACGAGCCTCGAAATCATTTTCATATAACCTTCAGATAACAAATCTGAAATATTAACACACTGCTAATAACGACCGCAGAATTGCGACAATGACTTAAGACAGAATTCTCATTCATGGGAGAACGCTATATCCTTAGGAGTCATGCACTGCTGGGGAAAATGGTCGTCATCTAGGTTACATCCAGGGAGGGAGGGGGAGAGAGAGAGAGAGAGAGAGAGAGAGAGAGAGAGAGAGAGAGAATCCAATTCCTTGGATCAAGAGCCTCGCTATGACAAAAAGTCAAGGATTAACAACCACATCTAAATAAGGAAAAGCAGAATTACTGCAACAAGGAAAATCCTAGGACACGACTAGTACCCAGGGGACGATGAAAAACAAAGGTCTCTTGCTGGGTAAAGAGCAGGAACAATGTAGGCGTTGAAGTACCCGAGGATCAGTAACATGGGGAGGAGGGGAGAAAGTGGAAGAGCAAAGAAACGAGGACCAAGTATGCTCGGGATGAATGCAAAAAACCTACAATCTGGTGCTCAGGATGAACAGCGAGTCCTTAATGAGAGACTGTAAGGATACACCCTCATTACCGGGCGCTGTTTAGCACACTCGTCTGTCGAGGAAACAAAGGGAGAGAAAAGCTGAAGACCGAACCCACATTACATTCATTTCCCTGCCTGCAGGACTGAGTTCCTCTCAACTTCGACACTGATTCAGTTTGTGTACACTGTTGTATTACCCTAATTGTATTTACAGGGTTGAATCATTACTCCTGGTCTCCCTGGACCTGATCATACTCTTTAAACTTTTTATTTTGTTGTAACTGCACTGCCTATCCATTTACTTCACTTACTACTCCGAGATGGGAAACATATTTTATAATATTTTTTGGATTCGTGTGCCTCTATATATACCATCTGTAGCTCCTGTCGCTTTCTCTCATTTCAGTTTGTCTCTATACACTTGAATTAGTATTTTGCATATCAAGATTACACCCCCTCACCCTCTTATTCTAATAGCGAGTTCAAAACTCGTCGTGAAGCTTTTTTTTTTATTTACAGTATATTCTTGACTAGGTGCGGGTCTCATGGTGATACTACGTGCTTTTAGATGGGTTTAATATATGTTATGTATAATATCCTAAATAAACCTATAAGGTTCATGGAAACATTACTTCCATTTCAGTTCTCTTCCCTACTAGTAAGTTTATTCAGGTATACACAAATACAGTTACACAGATTATCATACATAGCAGCATATGTGTAAAGAACCTAGGATAACCTAAGTCAGAAAGAGTGACTTTTCCATTGGGGTCCTTTATACCACCTTCCTAGTGTCGCAGTGTTTCTCTTGTGCTCTACGCTTCCATCTGTGTCCCCTTGTTCCTGGTCCATGAATTACAAATAGTCCATTCCTATCAATTTTATCAACTGCAGAATATCTATTATATAGTAATAATATCTTATAACTCTAGAGAAAGACAAGCAGATCCCTTAGTCTCACTGTACACCGCACAGCTTACATTAGTGTGACTGTAAGCTTTCAGAAATTTGTCTCTGAATTATTTGTCCTTAAACTGACCACAGAAGTTGTAAAAAAAATATTTTCCTATTTAGTATCAGTCATGTTCAGTTTAAACTCCAGAGATGAGAAATGTAAAAATATCAATTAGCAGAAGCACAAACATAAAATATCAGTTTTGGAAAAACATTAAATTACAAGGAAAATTAAACTAAAAGATCTATAGGATAATGTCAGTGAAAGAACTGTTACTTGTGCTGTCTTTTACTGGGTCTTCTGAAGGATGAACCAGTCAACGAGATAATGTGACTCTGAATAACCTCACCAGTTGTTACGAGTCGGAACGCTTGATATAGTAACGTTTGTCGGGAGAACGATCGGTACCGTGGGGATGAACGTGAATGTGCGGCTCTACCAGACTGTGTGAATTTACTTAACCGTGTGGCCAAGCCACCAGGTCAAATGCCGCAGGTTAGCACGGCAGGCATCACTAATAATGGCAAGGGTCTGTGGTCGCTCTTGTGTACACACTACCAGCTAAACTAAATGACCCCTAGGAGCAGCGTGATGAAGGCAAGCACACGGAGGTTGTGCAGTGTCCTGCGTCCTGCGTGGGGCTGCATACTATGCCTTCACCTCATTCATGCAGCTCTCCGCATCTCCTTTCACTCAGATTTTCCCAACCTCTCCAGTTTCGATCCTCCCCACGTTTTCAATATCTATATTACCTTCTGTCAGTTCAGAACTTAGGATTCAGAGTTTCCAAACGTATCCTCGAGGGAGTTCCTCTCATCCTTCCAGCACCTCTACTCTCGCCGTTAAACCATGGACTGCAAACCACCTTCCCAAGGACTTCCAAAGCTCGCTCACCATTCTCCCATGATGAGGTATTAAGTAAAGTTTGGTATATTAGTAGTGGCGTGCGTGTTCCCTACTGACCCCCGAAGGCAAGACCTCGACAGTGTGTGCATGCCGGAGGGAGACAAAATGTTAGGAGTGTGTTGAGGAAGATGGAGAGGAGAGATAAGAAAGGGAGGTGTGGAGAAGAAAGAGAAGTGGGGAAAGGAAATGGGTGGAAAAAGAGGGGGAGGTGTGCAGGAAAAGGGAATATGACGCTGCTTATATATCGTGTTCTTTTTATCATTTCACCGTCTTGTAATATATTCCTTATTATTTGCAAAGCAATACTTTTATGTACAGTGATGATTACTGGAGTTGCTTCTGAATTGTACTCCTCTAATCTATCGCTCTTTTCATAATATTCAAACCACGGCATTCACTGCCTTTAACCTCCTTGCTGCAATATTTCAAGACCATGCATCACGCTGCAATATTTCAAGACCATGCATCACGCCTGTACAAGCAATCGGCAACATTAAAGTGTACCACCATCTATTTAGCATCCACTGACAGCTCTTTCAACAGATTTCTCAGCGTTCTTGCTACTTCGTTTTTAATTTAGTGATTCACCTCGTATTTCATAGATCCATCATGTGACTCATCCATTCGCCAGCATAACATAAAATGAAGGAACACTGCAGTAAGTCTATTGGCCCATGCTTGGCAAATCCAACGTAGGCCCACCCAGACACACCGACTTATATACCCGTTCAATGTATATTTAAAGCTAACCAAAGATCTCGCCCCAATAACGCTACCGGTACTTAGTTATATCATTTATAAATCTAAATTTGTCCGACTTGAATACATTACTGCGAGTTCTGTCTTGGTTAAAAAATTTCAGCACGTTGTTTACTTTCCATTTGTACACTTCAGTCATATTTCCCTCCCCAAATCTAAGTCTTTCTAAACTGCAAATTCGATACCTTCAGCCTATCTACGTAGGAATAAGTGGGATTAACATTGTCATCCGTCTGTATATTTTCGAGTGCATTTATGTCCCTCCCATAATATAATATGGAGACCAGACCTGAGCAACGCAATCTAAATGAAACCTTACAAAAGATTTACAAAGCGTGATATGACAAAGAATCCTGTTATCTTTACTGCACTTATTAATATTTTTCGCATTCAGTTTTGGCTTAGTTCTACATTATTTAGCTTAGAAATGCCATAGTTACTTTCTTTTTTCTTGAATTATAACCTTACATTTTTCTGCAGTGAGTTTCATCTGGCATTTCTCCGACCACATCATCCCTATTCAAATCATCCTGTAGTTTTCTAGTGTCCTCATCAGATGTTATCTAACGGTCTATATTAGTGTCGCTATTTATTCCTTTATCTATGTTGTCTATGTAGATTGTTAATAAGGTCTCAATGCTGACTCCTGTGGTACGCCACTTGCGCCGGATCCCCATTCTTATTTATTCCCATTTATGAACATAGTGTTGCTTTTCTATCAACCATGACTCGACCCAGAAGATAATTTCTTCTATACAATGTGCCACTACTTTCTTCATTAGTCTCCAATGTGGGACTATCAACATATTTACTGAAGTTCATATATACATTATTGTATTATTTATCTCGGTCTACTGCCTAGAATACCTTGGTGAAAAAAGATTAGCAATTTAGTAAGACAAGAACGCCCCTTGTAAACCATGTTGAGATTAAATGATCAAGGTGGCTTCGAATTTCATCCCCAATTAGTAATTCCATCCATACTCATTCCGTCCAGTCTGGCCAAGCTTTCATTCCATACTCTAGTCACTAGGTTATTTCCTTTATTAACACGAAAGTACTTTTACACACACAAAGTATTCCAGTTTTTCTAATAAAGCGTCTAAATGCGCCATGTCTTCTACAAATACGAGTGAGTGTTCTCACTATGAGGCTGCACAATAAACTAGCCGCTTCGGCGGCAAAATCTAAATCTATAAGTATCATTATCTTATCGCTAAGATCACGCCTTATTTACATTCACTTTACATCCTCATCTATAAACACTTGAAATAACTTTGCCATCACACATTTCTGTAGAAAGGTAACTTATTGAAAAAATACCTATTTTACCTACATTAACCTAAAACTCCACAGTGTTCATGTCACATTCACATCCGAAATCCATCTTATTCCTGTGCAATTATAATTTCTGTACTTGCCATCACTTTCGATAACACTTTGGTGATTCGTCAAAGTCGTAACAGCGATCCTCTTTAAATTGCATACGGTATTCAGTTTTCCATATAATTCTTACTTTTTGTTGTCCCCTTTTCCTTAGGCTGTACCAAGAATATGTACCTCTACCAATTCTTAAGTATCTTTCCTTTTTCCATATACACATCAGTTGCACGAACCTAACACTTAATACCCACCTACTTTCAGCCAACTAAAACATAAAATAATAAATATTTTAATAACAAAATCGTGTACTTACTTTTTAAGGACAAGAGAAGACTGACTACACAGCTGCTGGGACAGGGGCTTACGGTCGACGGGACAGTTCTGTTGTACCGTCAGGAAAGACAGGAGGCACGGTCGGCAGAAGGTGTGGCCGCAGGGAGTGTCGAGTGGCGTCACCAGGGGCTGCGGAAAAAAAAAAGTTAAATAAGAAGTGAGGCATACCTGGCTCATAAGATCATCAGTCTCAAATATAAATATACCATACATACTTGTGACCGGTTTCGTAGGTTCCACTCTCACTGCCCGGCCTGAGGCCAAGCTTCCTTGATGATTACCTTTTCATCTAAGCTGTTGCTACTGGAGACCCACTGGACTACATAGTCATCACATCCTAGATGATCTGACACTTTACAGAGGTAGAGAGCCCAATATTCTCTTGAAAACTTCCATAGTTGTTCCGGCAATATTTCTGATATCTGCTGGTGTCAGGTTGAATAGTCGTGAACCACGGATGTCACTTTTTTTTTCTTTTTTGCTTTGAATGCACTTGGCTTATCTTCCTATATCTTTCACTCCAGTATGTTATGGCAGTGTAGATTAGGGACTAGGTCCTCTTAAGTATCTTCCACGTATTTTATCATGTATCGCTGCTTCTCTCCAGAGTACATTCTTAGGATTTTGAAACGTTCCAAGTAGTATAGTAAATATTTATTATATAAATTATCTTTACGAGGAAGCGCTAAACCCATAGGTGTCGTACAGCTCCTTCAGAATGGGTGGCAATCAGGTTCGATCTAAAGGAAGGACAGATCCAATTCTTTGGATCAAGAGCCCCTCACGTTTGACTGGAGGAAAAGGAGAATTTCTGCAATTCCTTAAATCAATTGACTTTCACTAGCACCAAGGCCCCTTTACAGGTCTTTTCTTCTCAGCGTGTTCTGACTGGCGTTTATATGTAGTCTTCGGGATTTGCTTGGCTCATCACATCCCAATTCCCCCGATCAAGCCCTTCGCACGCATCAAAGCAACCCCTTGCAGGGAACAGAGTCTTCTGAGGAATAATTTGGAGATCAGATGGCAACTTCAAATGTGGTTGTGGCTGCATAAAATTAAATCCTGGGGACCCGTGATGTCCCGAGGATACACGAGATCATTAATTCTAGGAGACAGCAGTAAAGTTTGGATAGGAAACATCAATAGATCACAAAAGCCTAGATAGGAGACAGCAGCAAAGATTGCAAATGAGACATCAGTAATACTATAAAGGAAATCAGCAGTAAATTAAGAATAGGAGAAATATGAACAAATGGCGTGATAAATGGTAACTGCCGAATAGGAGGACATCAGAAACAGTATCACGGAATATCAGTAATATTAGAATGTGGGGTAGGCTGGTGGTTGGTGCATTAGTAATGCTAGGACATGATATCAGTTATCCACGGATACATAAATAACGATAGGAGGATGGAAAAGTCAATAACGCTAAGAGCCTGGGAACAACAAACACACAGGCCCAGAGGAGGAGGTCGCCATGAGAAGAGTCATCCCAAGAGGGCAAGGGGATCAATTCTCTCGAAAGTCGAGATGGTGTCGGGATTACGGTGGGTGGCAGTAGCCAAGCGGACGAATACACCACAAACGAGGATATTAAAATGCATCAGACGAAGGGACTGGTGACCTGCCGCCCGCAAGCAATTCTATCACCAGGTATGCACGGTTGATTTATCACGGGCTAATGCATGGGTGATAAATTTATTATGCATCCCATACCCATTGCGGGAGGACGTCAAAAGAATACAAAAGCATATAATAGGCTCAGGGACTCAACCCCATGAATGAGGGGCGGAGATTAGATCGTATAATAAACTAAAACGCGTTCAATTTGTGACGATCCTGCTTCAAGTGATAGGAAAGAAGGGAACATGTAAAACTGATTTATGATGAATACGCCCAATGGATGTGCACATTAATCTAACATAAAATTATTTCATTAACTTTTCAGGCTTTCAGTAGAAATTAGGCCATGGGAGGGCGGCAAGCATGTGATGTCTCTGTTAAGGGGGTAATACAATGGCCTCTTAAAATATCTTGTGATTTGAATGTTATATGTAATGATTTACGTAAAACAAATTAATTATGACAGGATAATATAGCGATAAAAATTAATATAAAAAAACTTTGGAGTGATATGCTGAAACATGACTTTAAGAGCTGAAATTATTTGTAACGTGTTAGGAAAGAGACTCGCTAGCACTCATTAAGCATGTACGAATATTTTCCACTATATTCAAACAAATAGCAATATCATTTATCAAGCAATGGACACTTAGTGACGTCGTGTTTACTCAAGCACTAAACTTCATGTATTACTGACGTCATGTGTGTTTTATTAACTACCACCAGTGTAATTCAATGTTAATAAAAATAAATAAAAATTATAACTGGATACAGGTCAGGTGTACAGTAACTCTCAGCTATAACTCCCTGAATTCCGCGTTACAGCTGTCAGATAAAATCTTAAGTTACGGCTCTTTGAATTACCAGCCAATCTCATTTCTGTATAGTTCCATGTGCATGAATTATCCGCATCCTACTAACATGTCCCAAAACAAAAGCTGTTATATTAAAGGGGGCTTCATGGAGGCATCAAGAGCAAGCAACACAATATTAAAGCTACACCCCTCACTACCTTGCCTCTATCTACACTAGTTACACGTTATCTTTACGACAGTACTTGACCAGACTTGAAGCACCACCTCCATTCAGTATGTATTATCTCCACTTCATGAGCATCATCTTCACATTTTAAACCGTATCTTCACTACATTATAAGTTATAATGCCATAAAAATCCTATCTGTTTTGGTACAACTGCCCAGGTCATCTGACGGAAGATCTATTTCTCAAAGCTGCATTAAATTCCACGTTTAAACAAAAGCTATATACAGTAATTATTACTTGAAACATTAACTTCAGAAAGTCTGTAAAACGTTCATAGCTTCTATCCGGACGGTAATGAGCGTTGCGGTGTTTAATGCAGCCTTCAAGACTGTAAATTATTAAAACCTTTCAAAAATTGTAGGGTATGTAGACTGAACGCTTTACAATAATAATCTTACTGTTTACAAGTGTAGAGAAGCAACCTATCCTCACTCTCATGTATTACTTCGTGTCTAAGTAAATAATGACTTACAGCTACGAAAGAACACAATATCATTGTAAATGAAAGCATCCTTATTACAAGTAATATTTTATGTTTAACAATAAGGTTAGGATAGTGGGGAAGAGAACATAGCCCAGTAAACCTAACCTAAATTAAATTATAAAAATATAATGTTACTTGTAAACGAAATGAAATTTTAATGTTAAATAGGCTCTGCCATGGTTCTAGTCAAAGATATTCCCTCGTGATTTCAAAGCCAAGTTTTACTTGTTGGAATTAAGTACACCAAAATCACATACGTAAATGAGGACAGGTGGGGGGGAGGACTTGCTAGTATATGTTCTGTAGAGGCCTTAATTTAGCTTCTAGAGTATATACACCGAAAGGTGTGTATCTCGGGGTATTCACTGGGAGTGTACTTTAATCTCTATTTTAGGGACTACAGTATTCTTGGCTGGTGGTGCACAGGTTACATGTAGCCGTAATAACCCTCGTGTAGTCGAGGGAAATTAACCAACGAATTAAACTTTTAATTTTCTTGCCAGTTTCGAGTCTTAAGGTCCAGATCTGTGATTTATCTCAGGAATATTATATTCACTGTTTATCTTAGGGTAAGAGCAGTTATCACATTTCAATGAATTTCAAAGCCACTCACAGCAATCGACTAAAACCCAGACACAGAACTTATTTACACCTACATGAACACTAGCAGCAGGTGTAGGTAGATTTGCACATATGTCTTGCCTGTTCTGTTGTACTCGCCTACTTGTCTTTGCCTGGGTCGATTCACATCTGGCCTCTCCTCTTGACTCTTATCTACCGGCTTTACTGAATTTTGGCCCGCAGGGCCAAATGTTCTGGGCTTCAACTTAGAGCAGCGTTTCTGTCTAGCATTCTGATACGGACGAAGAATCGAAGGACAGAGCTTTCCATTCTTTGCAGTGAAAGGCCCACAAAAGCTTAACACTTAACCTAAATATATATTGACCACTGAGCTGCAAGTCAACTGCCGTCTACCAGTTCTACTCTTCCCATTTAAGACGGAAGGGGAGGGGAGGTGCCTTAATACTGAAGGGTTGTTAATCCAAAGATTTTGAATTATCCTCCCATTGGATCAAATCGGATTACTTCCCATTCCCCAGGCACCATATGATCCTTACCCGGTTTGGCACTTCCCCAGGAGTATAATAATACACGTGTGTATTTACCTGTAAACAGATGTGGCAGGTGACATCTTCATCTACGTCGTCGATGTAGTCGTACAAGTGCGGCTCGTGCGGCTGGTGCAGCTGGCCGCAGGTGCGACAGTTGCGGCGACGACCACTCCTCACAGATCCCACGCCCACGCCCACGCCCACGCCGCCCTCCTCGGTAACCTCCATACTGGCGCTCCCACACTACTCTACACCGCCCCCATCACTCCTGCAACAAAACGAAAAAGGTGAGAATTAAACTGGAGCAAAATACTATTAGGAGACAATAAACCTTCTTGATTAAACAAAATACATAGTCGATTACAATGAAATAATGGTATTGATAAGAATGATGATTAGTTTTAATGAAGATAAGGCATATGTATATAAATTTTGCTGCCAAAAACTACTAACGCCATTATTTTTCTTGTTCAGGTATCAAGATCAACCATAATATAGATGTGGGCATCTCAAAAAACAAAAAATAATAAATAAAAGGATCTTTTACACCTGAAAAACTTCAAAATTTCACTTCTGGATGGTAGTAACCTCGCGATCCAGCATTTGCTGAGTCATAACTTTCAGGAAATCCTGATCTAGACATCGTTCAAAATTAAATATCAGTTACCGTAAAGTTATTATACTTAAATTTACTATCCTAAATTTACGTATAGTTAACCGCAAATAAGTATATTATATAAACAGTTTAACGACATCAACCATCAAGGTCTTCCTTAGTTACTCTGCAAGACGGGTAGGAGGTAGGTGCCTTGATGCTGGTGAAAGGCTCTTTGTCCGAGGAATTGGGTACCTTTCCCTCGGATCAAGCGCTGTATGACCCCTGCAGGTTTAGCGCTTCCCCGTGAATATAATAAACTTTTATTTGTTGGAAACAATACGCTCGTTACGTAGGAGGGACAGCGCTATCCAAGGTCCTCATGGACAAGAGAACTGTAATAAGAGGAAGCTGAGAACCCTGTGAACACGACAAGATGCAGAAAGATGAAGTAAAAGACAACAAGCAGACATAAGATGGGGAGCCACAGATGGAAAAATGACAGTCAGAAACTCATGTGACAGTCCCAAGAGCGAGACTCTTGGAACCGTCGTCGTAGCTTGATTGCTAGCGCACTCAACTCACACTGTCCAGTGGCTTACGCACTAACACACTGAGGTCCGGGGTTCGATCCCTGGCATGGGTGGTGTCATTAGGACGTGTTTCCTTAAGACATCTGTTGTCCATGTTCACCTGTCAGTAAAATAAGTACCTGGATGTTAATCGACTAGTGTGAATCGCATCTTCGGGACAAACTTAACCTAATTTGCTCGAGATAATCTGCATAACAAAGGAGTTTCTATATAGTAGTATGTCACTGATGTCAGTTAGGCCTATACACTTTGTACATGTATTTGTACAAATAAAGAAAATTATTTTGATTACTATTATAAAGAGCCCAATCATAAGAACGAAGAGAGAGGCTCAGGCAGCTTGGCTCCACCCACACTGCTATTCATGCTTAATCACGCCTTGTTTTCCCCTTGTCAGAGGTGTATCCTGGGAAGTTTCGTGGGTGCCCACGAAAGCTGCTCGTCTGCTCCATGCTGGTTGATGTAATGTGATAGGGAAACATTTAGCTTTTGTTCCCACTGTGCAACTTTCATATAAAATAGGACAGCAGCATACTGCTGATGTATCAGTGATTGTTAAAAATGCTGGTCTGAAGTAACTGTTTGTTACGACTCTAAATTATCATTTTATTATCCTTTCAAATATCTTAATACTCGTCGCTTATGCCCTCAAAAAACCCCTGGCAGTCATCAATTTTTTGTTCTGGGAGGCCTTACAATCTGTGAAACTTCCCTAATGGATCCTTGGTACACCCCTGCCTTGCCCCTTCACCTCCCTCGCCCCACTTTCCCGCACGACATCCCCCCCCCCCCGGACTACCCAGCACAAAGAAGAGCAGGGTAATCCTTTCATTAGCGTGTAAGAGCCCCTCTCCCACTTGTAGGACACCAAGTAGGATAATGACAAAATTTTACCACATTCAAAACAATATCGCATTTAAACAGGGAGAGGAGTCAAAAATGTGTGTGTACTCACCGAGTTATGTTTGCTGGGGTCGAGACAAGTTCTGGCGCCGCTGTTTAGGCTTACTTGACCGACTTTTACTGGATGCTGACCTCGTGGCTGTCATACATCTGGTGTACCTATATCATTTCCCCGTGTCGATCATTTCTCTTTTCTACCACACTAAGATTAAAGAAATCCCTCGTCCAAGTGCTTAATCAGCTAGACTGTAATGGCTATGTGGGCCTGAGAGCAGCAACAACAACCTAGCTAATCAATCAGGAAGGAAGCCTGGCCTCAGGCCGTGTAAGCCGACTTACGAGCGTAAACAAACCCTTGAAGCCGGTCGCAGGTATGCCGCAGACTAGCTTCCGTCTGTGCTCCAGTTTTTTCATGGTCCTCTCTTCTCACTGTCTCTGCCTTATCAAAACCTAGATTTTATAACGTCATAATCATAGCCCCTTGTTCCTCCTCCTCTCCTGGGTCGTTAGTTTCAGTTCCTTGAATTTTCATGTATCACATTCCTCTCCGAGACAAGCCTTGTTGCAAACATTTGGATCTAATCTATCTTTCGCATTTGTTTGATTTGGTACGAGCTCAGTGCTGGCACTTTTTTTCGCCTAGTTTGTTTGCAGGGGTCTATTCAAAGTTCCTGGTCCAGCCTTTTAACTAATCGATCTGTTTCACTGATTTCTGGCCTCTATTGTAGATTTGATCTCCAAGTCTTCATCTAATGCGTTCCACTTACTACATTAAGACTAAAAAAAAAAAAAAACACTTCCTAACATTACTGTGACTTCGCCTTTAGCTACCATGCCCCATGATCTGACTAGGTTGGGTCATTGGTTTAAGCCGGGAGGTGACTTGACCTGCCTCGCATGGCCCAGTAGGCCTGTTGCAGTGTTCCTTATGTTCTTTTTCCAACCTAAAACAGCCTGTCCCTAGTCACTTGGTCTAAAATCCTCCGTATTTTGTATGTTGTCATCATGTTCCCACTGCTCTTCTGGTGTTGCTAGTCTCTCACAAGTCTATCTTCGTAGTAAATTTCTCTGGATTTCGCCACCATTCTTGTTGTATACTTTTGAATCTTTGATTTCTGCTTGATCACATGTGGACTTCCTTCTGACACCGCACAATCGAAGGTGGGTCTAATGTACTCTATGATGAAAATAACGTACATAGAGTACAGTGTCCTAAATTATTCTTTATCTAGGTATCATGATATTAGTGTACACATGTAATATAGTGTACATATGTAATATAGGGGCAAATAAAGGTGATGAAAATATGAAATCAAATAAATTCTAAGGAAAAAAAATGGAAAAAATACAGACTTAGAAAGGATATAGAAAATCAACGGTTCAGTGAAACGAACTGTAGAGCAAACTGCTAAGTAACGCGGCTTTAAAATCAGGTGTCTAGACCGATGCACGAGTGAGGAAAAGTACGCGTGAGTAAAATCTGCAATGCTCGGAACCAGCAGCTGTGTTGCAGTGTTGCTGTTATGTTCTTGTCGGGCAGAGGGAAGCCAGCCGGTGGTGGTGGTCATAGCGACACGGTAAGCTGCTGCCAATCATCAGTCCATCATCTTGCTCGTTTAGTAAAGTGCCAGAGAGAGAGAGAGAGAGAGAGGAACGAGCGGTGGTATGAGAAGCTCATAATGACCTCTAAATGGCCGACGTCCCAGCTTTCCATCTTTTTCCCCCACCATCTCCACTCATCCATCAGACTTTTCAGGAGATTACGAGCACCGGGGCCCCTAACTGCTCTCCCCCCTCCCTATCCCTGCTACTTACCCTTGTCCTCGTAAAAACTTTTAACGTCGCCTCCCTCATCCGTTCTCCTCATAGTAACCCAACCTCGTTGGCTCGTACCAATTTGAGCCGGTCATAATGGTGGCTGGTCATTAGAGCGAGGGGGTGAGGGAGAAGGCTGTGTTGATAGCCCCGTTACGACTCCACTCCAGTCATAATCACTCTTCAGATAAAAATTGCAGTCATTTTTGTTTCTTTTACGACATGAGCCTCACTTGGGATCCACAGCTGTATTCTGACTAGTTTGTGCGAGTGTGGGCAGGCAGTGCTTAGCAGACAAGCAAAGTCCCGGTAGGCAGTGCCTGACAGACTGGCACACTAGAAGGGAGATTACGGGGAAGGGGGAGTGCTCAAGCATAATTTTGATGAAGTTCATTTAAAGTGATGAGTGTGTGAGAAATCAGAATCCACGAGATGCTATCATTACCGGAACTGTCAAGGAAACATTTAGATTACACGATGCTGCAATATAGAAATAAGCAAATGTACAACAATGCACCGCAGAGAATTTAAGAAATTTAATAGTATACGAAGAGACAAGATGTGGCCATGGGTACCAAAGAAGCAGAGATATTCTCCGGTACTGAGGGAGACTACACAGTATCTCATCATGGATACAGAAAAAAAGAAAGTACAGCTCTCTGCACACCACTTTTACTAAAAGACATCATTCAAAAAAATGACAGAGGCGCTAAACTGCTGGTCAGTATCCCTAATATGCATACCATGTAATGAGAAAATTGTAGAACACCTGGGCGAAAAAAAGCCTAGTCACAAAACACAAAATATATAGAGTCGAGTCGTGTCGTAAACTTTAACAAGTTCTAGAATCGTGTGGTTATTCAGCTCTTGTTAACATTTCTTAAGTCTCTACCATCATTACCAAGTAATAACACCTTATTACTATCAATACCAATTGCTGCTGTCGTCAAGAACTGACACTAGTACTAGAGATATCACAACCACTATATTGTAAACTAGCTTAAAAAAATTGTTCCGTCACAAGCTGTAAGTTACACTACTTAGGCGGCGGCGGCGGGCGGTGGCAGCAGCAGCAGCAGCAGCAGCAGCACAGGAACAGCGGAAGCAGCAGTCGCTGCGCCTGCCAAGGCTCGAAACAAAGAGTTAGAATGACAGTAGTGCCTAACAAGACAATTCAGATGGATTAAAAAACTGGAAAAACACGTCGACAACACGCTGGAAGACAACAAGGGCAAGAAACAACTCAATGTTGCTGCCACATGAGCTTAATTGTAGACAAACACTGGAAGACTGCTGAGAAGAAGTGGCCAGGGAGAGGGAGGAAGCGGATGAGGGTGGGATGGGGATAGAGGAGAGGAGGGG